ATGGCTGCAATATTTATCGGAAATAATGAAGAAAAAGATTTACAATAAGTGGACCAGGGAGTCCTAAGGCGCGAAAGATATTTTTGAAATTCTCCTCCGCTTTAGTCGCCTTCCATTTGGAAAACATGAAAGAGGTGATTCTTATAAGAGTTTTGAGAATAAAAATCCCTTCACTTCATACTCGAGAATTTAGCTGACAGCGAAACAAGTTTTTATTATTGTTTCTGTCTTTTATTACTGTGGTTACCTGATCCTAGCGAAGACGGTCACAAAGGAAGAACGTTTTCTCTTGCAACCTGGTCATTCACCAGCTATCTCCACGCTAGGTTTTTCAGTCGAATAGATTTTCGACATATTCAAAGCAAAGACGAACGCTAAATTTATAAATATGTAAGATGGATTCTGGTGACACTGACACGCACATACCCATAATCTCACACACACACACACACACATATGGATAAAAAAAAAAAAATATATTTCTTTTAGTCATTGCTGACGCGTTGGTTTATTTTACAAATTTAATAAAGGGCAAAGACAAAAACCATAGGGAATGTTTTCTTTTATTTACATTAAATTCAAATATAAATGGAATGCTCCTGATCAACCTTTTCCTTTTTTGAAATTTAATATATATATATATATATATATATATATATATATATATATATATATATATATATATATATATATATATTATATATTGTAAAGATAAATATATATATATATATATATATATATATATATATATATATATATATATATACAAACCTAAAGACAGATAAACCTATCTAGGTTTCACCTACACGGATCGTTTTTGTTTGCTCTACTTAGCGTAAATTCAATGTTATTGGTTATTTTTACTTTACTCGTTCGGACAATTTTTTCTTTGGATTCTGAACTTAGATTCTAGACGATTATTTTTCGCCGGAACATACATGTTCTAAGTTTTTATTTTTTTTTTTTTTAGGAAAGATTTTCGTGATTGGTTTCTTCATTTACAAGCTAAAATAAATAAGGTCTTGCCGGAAATTATAGCTGCTTATATTTATAAGATTATTAGTAATTCTATATATATATATATATAAATATATACACAATAAATCCAAAATCACTTCATAGGGTAAATAATCTTATTTTTGAAAACGAAAAATATTCTTCATTCTTACTCAACCCCGAGTTCGTGTCTGGAATGGAAATTGAGCTTGAATATATATATATATATATATATATATATATATATATATATATATATATATATATATATATATTTCTTCTCATTAGATGCAGTTCCACACACTGCATTTTTAATCCTGATGAAGTCTTTGGCTGTGGTTGCAAGGTAATTTGTAAATGTTTCTGACTCTAGCATTTTTATCGGATCTCTGATTACTGAAGATAAGATGTAAACATGTCTTTTCAATTTCAACATCATTATTTGGACATAGTATTTACCATATATATTTTTATTTATCTTAGTTTATCTATCTATCTATCTATCTATTTATATCTATCTTCTGTATATATATATATATATATATATATATATTCATGATACAATATTTATCTGATGGCAGTCGATGAGAAAGTAATTTTCCTGTTTGAAGTCATTAATCACTGATCATTAACAATAATTGTTTTTTTTCTTTTAACCACAGATTCTCGATTGGATTTAAATCAGCAGAGTTTCCGGGATAGTTTATAGCACTTTGATTTGATCACTGATAAGGCGTAGCAGTGTGTTCTTACAGCGTTACAATTTTCCCACGCTTCCTTGGAATGACATCCATCGCAGACAATGGCCGTAGGACAACTAATCGACAGTCGAGACAATAGTGTCTGGGCGTGATAAAAATATGATGCAATCACAGATGACGCAATATTTTTGAAGGTCAAACAAATTTCATCATACACCCTGAAAATAGACTCATATTACTCTTTTCAGAATGTGCAAATAATGATACAAATAGATTACTGGATCTATCATCCCAGTGGGTCTAAAACTGACCTACGATGAAAGAAAGGAAACTAAAGCGCTTATTTCAATTAATTTGTAGAAAGGTGTAGCTATTCCAGTAAGATTTTTTTTTAGTTAGAGGGAAATCTCGCATTCTCTTAAGAGGACGCAAATAAATAAGTCTTACCTATTTTTATATTTTATGTTTTTTTGTGGGGGATTATTCTTGTCTCTTTAAGATCAAGTGAGATGAAATTAATTTGATTGAAATCTCAGAAAGGTCAACAAGAAAATTAATTTGAATAAAAGGGGTTCTTATGCATGAAAAAAGGGGTTGAAAAGCCGCTAGGTGTTTGATGTGTCAGGGTTAGAAAGAAAGATTTCAAGGGAGAATGACAATAACAGATATTCGCAAAGAAAAAAAAAATGGTATATTGCTGGCGTGTCAAATTAAAATTATTAATAAATTTCTTTTTCACAATTATTTCATAAAAATTTTGTCTTATATATATATATATATTTATTTATATATATATATATATATATATATATATATATATATATATATATATATATTTATATATATATATATATATATATTTGTAAATTTGTAAAAAATTATGCATTTAATAATTTCAAAATAATTTTTATCATGAAAAACATTACATGCAAAATTTTTTTCACGTGTATTGTTCGATGCATTTTTTGCATTTATGCATTTTACATGTTTGAAATCATATTATAAAAAAATATTTTTCGTTTAAACACATACACACATTTACACAGATAACTTCACGCACACACACACACACAAAAATATATATATATATATATATATATATATATATAAATTTGAACATTGAAGTCAACACTCATATAGGTGAAATTTTGTTTCATATTACAATCATCAGGCCGCCTGACGATTGCATCCAGCATATAAATATATAAATATTATCTGGGTTTTACATAATTTCAATGTTATATATATATATTTATATTTAAATATATATATATATATATATATATATATATTATTGAGAAAAAAAAATATATATATATTGAGAAAAATCCAAAATTACATCATGTGCATATGGTCTATTTCAAACTAGCACTCCTATGTGCCAGCAGGAAAAAAAACTTTTACCCAGACAGTCTTGCCTGAGGATATCTGGCGCAAAGCAATGTTAGTTTGAAATATGACTACTATATATATATAAATAATTTTGATTTTTAACTGTATTTTTTATAAAATCTGTTTTAATATATACATTGAGCTTTTTGGGGATCAGTTATAATAATATATATATATAGTAATATATATATATATATATATATAATGCAAGCAGAGTCCTTAGAAATCCATGGGTAATAATCTATTTCAGGGGATCAGACCCCATCTCTTCAGATCAAAAGATTTTACAACAATAAATATCCAGACACAAGAAAAAAGAGAAAAAAAGAAAAAAAGAAAAAAATAAAAGGAAAAGAAAACGAAAAAGGCAAATTTAAAATCTAAAATATATTTATTGTTGTCAAAATTTTGGTGTAAAGATATGGGGTCTGATCTGATCTGATCCCATGAAATAAATTATTACCTATTTCTAAGGACTCCGCTTGCATTATATATATACATCTGTTTTTACACTGATATATATCTTTCTATATATATATCCTCTTTGGAATTAATCCTACTAATTATTCTAAAGTAAATATATATATATATATATATATATATATATATATATATATATATATATATATATATATATATATATATTGAACAATAAAAAATATTAAAAATTAAAATCTTCAGACACACTGGGTTGTATATTAATATTCTTTCGTTTTTTTTTATTATTATTTCATTTAGATTCCCCGACTAGTTTCGGCCAACATGGCCATCATCAGGAGAAAATAATTTTCTGCTTGCTGGTAGCAGTGAACTACAGAAATGAATGTCTTGGTGGAGAGAATGAACTTTTGTCTGTAGTTTTCATTAGTTTTTTTTTTACATGAATTTTGGTCAGCTTTGTGTTGTCATATATATATATATATATATATATATATATATATATATATTTGCGTGTGTGTATGTGTGTGTGCGAATTAGTGAAAAAACTTTCTCTGACCAACCAAAAAGGTATTCACGACAACATTGTGAAATTACATTATTTGGCCAGATACTGAGAAGTAGATTGAACCAAGAACCTTTCCACATCTCCCTATAACCTCACACACACATACACAGACATACGCTCACATACACAGACACACACACATATATGTGTGTATGTGCAGATAGATAGATAGATAGATAGATAGATAGATAGATAGATATTATCCCACAAAATAACAAAATAAACATTATCTATCTACAGGCTCATGTTGTAATATAGCACGTTTGAATAATTGAAATTCACTGTGAAATTGGATCAATAATTTCATCGCCTCTCATAGTTATTAAATGAAATCTGATCTGAATTTTCCATGTATAATGTCCAATCTATGCGCTATCACGTGAATCGTATCCTTGCGTTACAATTATTGGAAATAATGTTCAAAGCAAATCTTAATTACAAATGATAGATCGATGGATATATAGATATGAACAATGAAGGACATATGAACAGAATCAGATAGATAGATAGATAGATAGATAGATAGATAGATAGATAGATAGATAGATAGATATGAACAGACTGAGATAGATAGATAGATAGATAGATAGATAGATAGATAGATAGATAGATAAGAACAGACTGAGATAGATAGATAGATAGATAGATAGATAGATAGATAGATAGATAGATAGATAGATATGAACAAAATGGAGATATTAATAGAATTGAATAGAATAGAATATCTATATATATAGAGACAGATAGATAGGAATGAAAGAGATAGATAGATAGATAGATAGATAGATAGATAGATAGATAGAACATACGAACGGATGGATTTCTATAAGGATGGGTAGATAATATAGATAAGCAGAAATGACATTTTTCGTGGCATTAGTTTGGCGAACTGGTTGGTCGATGTAATGCTGTCTTTTCGAGGCTCGCATTTGCCAACCGTGCTAGACATTGGGCAAGAACACAATCTCCGAGAAGAACGGAGAAGGTGAGGTTGTGTTGGAATAGAAAGAGAGAGATGAATGGAGAAACAGAGAAAGAGAGAGAGTGAGAGAGAGAGACGGGGGCGTTCGATGGAATGAGGAGAGCCTGGAGATGAGGCTGCTGGCGTGCCTTTCGGAAAAGGCGGAGAGGGTTGTCTCGGGGTTGGGACACTGGCTCAGCGCCAAGTGATGTTAGCCTTTTCAGGAATGTTGGGTTGGTTCGAGGCGGTGCTTGAAGCGAAGGAATCTAGTGTCAGCCTCTCTACTACTTGGCAGGGATCGATGGTTTCCCTCAGATATTATTGGCTGGTCAATTCGCATTCGAACTGACGATTTCCCTTCAAAAGTACATCACATTTCTTTACCCTCCCTCTCATTATCCCTCTCACTTTACTATCTATCTATCTATCTATCTATCTATCTATCTATCTATCTATCTATCTATCTATCTGTTTCTCTGTCTGTCTGTCTGTCGGTCGGTCTGTCTGTATCTATCTATTTATCTTTCTATCTGACCTGTCTGTCTGTCAATAGGCATTTCTACATATATTCACTTAAATGTGCATATGGAATTCTATCTATCTATCTATCTATCTATCTATCTATCTATCTATCTGACCTGTCTGTCAATAGGCATTTTTACACGTATTCACGCAAATTTACATAAAAGCTATCTATCTATCTATCTATCTATCTATCTATCTATCTATCTATCTATCTATCTATCTATCTATCTGACCTGTCTGTCAATAGGCATTACTACATTTATTCACGTAAATTTACATATGGGATTATATCTATCTATCTATCTATCTATCTATCTATCTATCTGACTTTTCTGTCTGTCAATAGGCATTTTTACACGTATTCACGCAAATTTACATAAAATCTATCTATCTATCTATCTATCTATCTGACTTTTCTCTGTCAATAGGCATTTTTACACGTATTCACGCAAATTTACATAAGAGCTATCTATCTATCTATCTATCTATCTATCTATCTGACTTTTCTCTGTCAATAGGCATTTTTACACGTATTTACGCAAATTTACATAAGAGCTATCTATCTATCTATCTATCTATCTATCTATCTATCTATCTATCTATCTATCTTTTTTTTCTCTGTCAATAGGCATTTTTACACGTATTCACGCAAATTTACATAAGAGCTATCTATCTATCTATCTATCTATCTATCTATCTATCTATCTGACTTGTCTGTCAATAGGCATTACTATATTTATTCACGTAAATTTACATATGGGATTATATCTATCTATCTATCTATCTATCTATCTATCTATCTATCTATCTATCTATCTATGTTCATTATCTAGTTGTCTATCTATCTCAATCTGTTCATATCTATATATATATCAATATATCTCCTTTTTTTCTGAAGTATTTCTAATTACTTTTTAAAATCTTTCTTCTCTTTTTATCTAGCCGTTTTTGTTTTTTTTTTTCATATTTTTTTTCCTCTTATCTTTTTTGTGTATTTTCTTTCTTTTCTTTTCTTGAATCTGTTCAATTTTCAAAAATCTCTCTCCTTTCTTCCTGTAATCCTTTTAATCTCACTTATTTCCTTTCTCACCCCTCTCTCTCTCTCTCTCTCTCTCTCTCTCTCTCTCTCTTTTACTTCTTCTCTTCAGTCTTTTTCTTAATCTCATTTCAATAATAAATTGGGGATCAGTTTGTTACTTCATAACAAAAGCAACCCAATCCCCAATTTTATGTCCAGTAGAGTAAAGATCAATATTAATTTACCCCCGCAGTCAAAAACGACAGAATATTTGCTTAGTTAATTATCAGACGCTTTTCACATGTCATTCATAAAACATATTTTTACAATTATGATATTAAAGTGTACGTATCTTGGGGGATCAATTCGTTAATTATTTTAAAAATAGACTGATCCCCCATTTTATGTTCAGTAGTTTCGTATATTTATATTTAACAATGTCATAAAAAGAGTAAGGCAATATATTTTGTCAAGTCCTTACATAATGTATTCTCAAATATATTTTACCAGTTATAATATTAATATATAGCAGGGTCTGGTGTTAGTTTGCTACTTGATAACACTAGAAAACTGATCCCCCATTTTATGTCCCGTTTGAATCTTTTATTAATTCTAATTTTGGCATTCCGTCCAAAACGACGGCATATTTTATCGGCTTAGTAATCAGGCGTGAGTCGTTAATTAGGCTTTTCCCCAGTCATTAATAATATGTAATAATTTGGAAAGGGTTCAGCATTTAATCTAATAACGAAATGAACCGATACACCATTTTATGTCCAGCAAAGACTTAAGCCGATACTAATTTAATCACACCGTCGGAAAATGAAAGTGCAATTGGTTTTTTTTAATATATATATATATATATATATATATATATATATATATATATATATATATATATATATATATATATATATATATATATATTAAAAAAAAAGTGTTTTCACATGTGAGTTTTAAATAAAATTTTTCGAATAATAGTTTTGTTCATTCATGGAGTCGATCGTTTCAACTCCAGGATTCATTCAATATCATCAAACACTCCCGCGGCTGAAAGACACTGCCACCTAGAGTCACCAGTGCAAGTGAGATAACTACCGTAGTTAAACTTTGTCTATTCCTTTTCTCGTAAATTTTGGGGAGTTAGGGGGTTAATTATTTCATACATATATATATATATATATATATATATATATATATATATATATATATATTTATGTATGTGTGTGTGTGTGTGTGAGAGGAGAGAGAGAGTTTTATGCATGTATGTAGAGAGAGTGTGTGAGAGAGTTATACAAGCACGTATATATACGTCTTTTATGTTTTTTCCTTTATATATATATATATATATATATATATATATATATATATGTGTGTGTGTGTGTGTGTGTGTGTGTGTGCGTGTGTGTGTGTGTGTACATATACGTTTTTAATAAATCTTTTCATTTGTTAATCTGTCTTATTTTATAGTTATATATAATTGTCTTTGTCACAAATTTTTATGCTAATATTAATTATTTTTCTATCTTACCCATCTCTTTTTTATATATATATATATATATATATATATATATATAGTTAAGTAAAAATCCATACATATATATATATATATATATATATATATATATATATATATAAAATTCTCGTTTTCATCACCTTTCATGCTTCCGTCTTTTTTTTTAAATCTTTTTTTTTTCTTTTGTTCATCTACATCATTTTTTGGGAGGAGGAGGTAATTTCTTTGGTCTACCTTTCTCTTTTTATCATTTTCTTTCTTACTTTCTTTCTTTCATTCATTCATTTTCTCCCTTTCCTTTTTCATTTTGTCTCTCTCACTTTCTTTCTTTCTTTCTTCTCTCTCTCTTTCGCATATATTTCTTCCTTTCTTTCTTTTTCTTTCTTTATTTAATAATGGATTTTTCACTTGCTTTCTATTTCGTCTTCTCTTCCGCAATATTTTCTTTTTTTTCTTTCTTTCTTTCTTTCCCTCCATTCTACGTTTTTTTATGTTTGTTTCTTCTTATATTTACTTCATTTTTGTTCATAAGCCAGAGACAATTTATTTACCTATATTTTCAGATTGTATTGACCAATCTTTTCTTTACATCTTCTTAGCATCGTCAATTATTCCCATCTGTTCTATCCTAATTCATTCTTATTCCTATATTCTATTCTAATTCATTCTTCAATTTTCAATTCATTCCTATATTCGCTGATAGTTGTTCCTCCCATTTTAATAGTGCTTTTCATTCACTCAGCCCTCTTTTCATATACTATCTATCATGCCACAAAAGAAAGGCGTCGAGTTTGATTCGAATCAGAATGAAACCAAATTCCTAACCATTGGCCCAGGCAAAACGTCCATATTATTCCTATAAGTTCTTTCTTTCTCTCTTTCTCTCTCACTCGCTATGTTTATTTATATTTTCCTCTTTTTTTATTTTTGAGTATGGATTTGTTTCAAGAGAACACACACACACATATATATACCCCCCCCACACACACACACAGGCATATATGTTGAACAATATAAAATATTAAAAAAGGAGATAGTGGATTGTGCAATTGCCTAAAATTGTGAGAACATATAAATGTGCAAATTGCACATGCAGAAAAAGCTAAATAAAAAAAATAAGTAAAAATATATACTGTATATTGTTCTGTATTTTATATTTTTTATATTGTGTACAACTTATATCTTTGACCATTTTATTGTACATATATATATATATATATATATATATATATATATATATATATATATATATATATAGAACAATAAAATATATTAAAAGTGAAAATCTTCAGACACACTGGGTTGTATATTAATATTCTTTCGTTTTTATTATTATTTCACTTAGATTCCTCGACTAGTTTTGGCCAACATGGCCATCATCAGGAGAACAAAAAAATGCCTTGTCTTGTAAAAGAATGGTTTATGATTTTGCTTTTTACGACTTTCCGTGTCCCATTTGGAGCAACCGTTGTTCCGCTATCACCTCTCCCTTAAATCGAACCTTTCTTTCTGACTTTCTTTCCCTCCACGTCATCAACCCCGGATATCGACTATCCCACCTCTTCTTTGCTTCTTTCTTGCACCCTGCAAGCATTCGCTGTCGACTGCTGTGTTCCCGCCACTGCCTTGCCTTCCTACCACCTCTGGCAGAGCTCCTAAGCCCATTCCTCCTAGCTCATTCCTCATAACTACCGCCACACATCTCACAACTTACCCACCTTCATCTCCTCCTCGTCCTCCTCTTCATCTTCCTCTATCTTCTTGTTATCTTTTACTCTCCCCTTCTCCCGACTCTTTTCTTCTTTGTTTCTCTCTCTCTCTCTCTCTCTCTCTCTCTTTCTCCCTCCTTACTCACCCTCTCAGCTACGGTCCATGTTAATTCGATTCTAGCACTGGTTTGCTGGATACTACCGCATTCCAACGTTTGGTCTTTTTTTTTTTTTGTTTTATTTCATTTTGTTTTTAAATTGTTTTATTTTATGCATGTGTGTGTGTGTGTGTGTGTGTTTGCAATTCCATTCTTTCCAGCCCCCTCCCTTTATTCTGCATTCTAATCACGACTTCCTCCCCTCTTTACACTTCTTTATAACCCCCCACCGCTCCAACTCTTTCTACAATCGCATCACTTTTAATACACTTTTCCTACTCTCTCTCTTTCTCTCTCTCTCTCTCTCTCTCTCTCTCTCTCTCTCTCTCTATCTCTCTCGTTCCTGTTTTTTTTTTGTTTGTTTTTTATGCACCCCGCTTCTTTCTGTGTTACAGCTTAAGTGTTTCTTTCTTTTTTCGTGTTTTATATTTTATACCTCTCCTTTTCTTTTCATCTGTTTGGTACAGATTCTTTCTTTCTTTCTTTCTTTCTTTCTTTCTTTCTTTCTTTCTTTCTTTCTTTCTTTCTTTTAAGCTGACGTATGTGTTGTGATCTCCTGCTTTAAATGTTACACCTACTTCCTCTTTTTTATCAGTTTTGTACGGCTTCTTTCTTTCTTTCTTTCTTTTTTCTTTCTTTCTTTCTTTCTTTCTTTCTTGTTTTATATATTTTTCTTTTTGCTCTCTCTTTGTCTATTTCACACAGCGACATATTTAGTTTTCGTTTTCGAAGTTTTATTTCAACTTTTCCATTTCAATCTTTTTTTTTCTTCTATTTTACACCCTTTCTTCCTTTCTTCCTTCCTTTCTTTCTTTTTAGGTTAGGTACTTCTTCTTTTCCCCTGCTTTATACGTTATACCTTCATCTCTATTTTTATTTGTTTCGTACAGCTACTTTCTTTCTCCCTTCCTTCTTTTCTTTCTTTCTTTCTTTATACGTTTTTCTTCTGACTCCCTCTTTTTTTTAATTCTACACTGAGACTTTTTTTCGCTTTCAATGTTCTATTTCAATTTTTCCATTTCACACTCTTTCTTTATTTCACTTGGCTTCTTTCTTTCATGTTTTATAAATTTTCCTTTTATTCCTCTTTTTTCACTTTTCAAATTTTCTTTCTTTCTTTCTTTCTTTCTTTTTTAACAGATCCTATCAAACTTATTCTCTTACATTCTATATTTATTTAGTTCTGTACATGGTTTGTTCAATTAATTGTCTCTTCCTCATCAATCCTGGTGTCGGTGAATGCCTCATCTTAATATTTATCAACTTGCAACACTTTCTATACTTTGCAAACACGAAAAACATTTCCAGAAGGCCTGAAAAGATCGCATTAGTTTGATTAGTGAACAAGCACGGCCGTTAAATTGATAGATAGATAAAGAGATAGATATGAACATACTGAGATAGATAGATAGATAGATAGATAGATAGATAGATAGATAGATAGATAGATAGATAGATAGATAGATAGATAGATAGATAGATAGATAGATAGATAGATAGGAAGAGACTAACATAGATAGATAGATAGATAGATAGATAGATAGATAGATAGATAGGAAGAGACTAACATAGATAGATAGATAGATAGATAGATAGATAGATAGATAGATAGATAGATAGGAAGAGACTAACATAGATAGATAGATAGATAGATAGATAGATAGATAGATAGATAGATAGATAGATAGATGAATGGGAAGAGACTATAGATAGATAGATAGATAGATAGATAGATAGATAGATAGATAGATAGATAGGA